AATTGCTTTTACATACTGGCGTTAACCGTGAGCTACACCGCGATATCACGATTTTTCCTCTCTTATCTCGCAAAAAGGGAGTCTGTATTTGCTCTGTGATTTCAGATAATGCATTATATGTGTTATGTTTTGGCGGGCGGCATTCGCGCGTAAATTGAAATGACGGATGACAGCCAATCTGTGCCAAAATCAAACCAACAATTTCAATCTAGTGCGAAAGTACCATGTTTTCAATAAAAATCGAATGCGAGTTTACAAACATTTGTTTGTTTGAAGATACGCGATTGCTCGACACGCGTGGATGGTTACTTTAATCAGCTTTGCTATCTAAATTGGCAATTTTAGTTAGATTGACGGTATAAAACTTGCCAAATAGTGAACAGAAAGAGATAAAGACAGGATGCTCGGTGATTAAACGTTTGACAGAATTGACAGAATACATTTGTAATAATTCTTTTTTCTCTTCAAAGCCGATATAATTTTTTTTAAATATCAATTATTACCTGTTATTACATGTTTACAGTACATCATTTTTATACAGTTTTTCCAATATTAACTTCCGTGTCAAAGTTTTTTTTCTCTTAATTGTCTCACAAGTCAAACATTGATTTTTATCTCATTCTTTCGTAGAAGAATTTTTCTTCTTTCTTTCTTTCAAGCGAGAAGAATTTGTGTACGCACACACACACACACACACACAATATGTACATGCACCCATCGCCTGTTCCTCGTTCCGAAATGCCGTCAGGTTGCGATGATCAAATCCACTCGAGGTGCACACACAGCGTGTGCAAACGCGAGGCGGATGCAGCGCAATTAAAGTTCGTAGAGTAGCTAGTCGGCTCGTTCGTTGTCGAATTGAAAGCTTTTTCGTTTGGCGATTCGAGCGTCGATTCACTCGCGCCAATTCCATTCGATAAATTAGTGGCGGTCGGCAGCGCCATTACGTCGTTAAACTGCGCCGCGCTTACTTCGGATAAGTCCCGCGGTCGGGGATAAAAATGCAGGCTAAAAGAGAAGGAGAGAGAAAAAAAGCGGCGCAGCCGCTGCAGATACGAAATATAACGCGCTGAAGAGGTAAAAACGGTGCATTGTCGTTTCGATATTCATTGCAGTGTGCAAGGTGCATCTCGTCGTGCACCAGACGCCGTGAAGAAAGTCGTGACATGGCTGTTTCTGATACTTCCTCATTTGTCGTTGGCGGTACGAGAGCGGACGTAGCCGAGGTAAAACCCGTCGTCTACCTTTTCATCGGATATAATTGCCTTTTATCCTTCGGTTGATCGATCGAACGTTCGCTCATTCGACAACTTCTGAAGAGACGTGAAATGAAACGTTACTCTTTGCTCGTGTCCGAATGTTCCAACCGAACATCGATAACACTGACATCGTTACTCCAATGATGTTTAATCCGCTGGAATCCGACGGTTCAAGGCTGCCGCTTGTAAGTTCAGCAACACTGAACTAGTTGAATGGATTGTACTATTTATTCAGCCGTTTTCAAAAGTATGTAATCTTTAAGATCTTTTAAAACAATTTTTATTTTAACATATTTTGTTAGATTAATGTTAAGAGAGACAGAAAATATGAGAAAAATTTTAGATATTTCTTTTAGTAATATTTTTATAGGATTAGAATAATATGTTGTATACATCTAAGAAGGAAATAGGACATCAACATCTGTATACAAGATATATACAAGACATTCTAATCTTATAAAAATATTGCTAAAAGAAATATCTAAATTTAAAATTTTTTTCATAATACTTTTTGTTTTTCTTAACATTAGTATTATATATTTATATCTTTCTATCTCAATTTGATCAAATATAGATATTATTTATTTAAATTCTATTTATTTTTTATATGTATACTTATAATATTTTAAAATATATAATTGTCCGAAAAATTTTATATATATTTATATATACAAGTTATTACAGGAATATATATCCTATAATAAGTATTCAAAAGATCTTTAGATCTTTCAAATATGCGCAGCGTGATATAATTCTCTCAATAGAATAGTCAATGTTGTACCAGATGCACGTTCCAGGAATGAAACTTTCAACACAATGTGCATTCCGTCATGAGATCCGTCACAATTTCCCATTACAACTCATCTGAGCGTGGAGAGTGATGATGAAGTCGAATTACCAATCGAGGGAATTGGACGCGTATTTGAAAGACTAGCATAATAGCATTAATCACGATCGTTAGACTAAGATCACGTATATTTCTGATCGAAAATATTGCTTTATACATTAATATTTAACTGTAGGATTCGATAAGATAATTTAAAAATTAATTTTAAATTGATTTTTGAGTTTTGCTATAAAAATTCCTATTAAATTGCCATTAAAAATTTACGTTTTACCATTATTCAGAATTTAAGATATTTTTTTAAGCACTCTCTTTCTCTCTCTTTTTCTTTTCCTCTTTCTGCAGATAGACACAATTTTCACATCTTGCATAAAAAGAAGCCTCAGCTTGAGCTTCTCTCGTCCCGGGACTCGAGCCAACAGAATCGCCTCCGAATCGAGGAGAGGAATCCGTTATACGAAAAGGGACGGCGTAGGCGTCGATTCACTCCGCTATGTGTGTCCTTCGTCTTCTAATCGCAGGTCCTTTCTTCCTCGGACGTTAATAAAGTCCTCTGTCTCCCAGCTCTCGTGCTGGAGAATTTCCATCCTTCGGGCTATTCTTCTTCGATTCGCCAGGGTTTCTCTTCGATTGACGTTCTCTCTCTCTCTC